GTATATATATATATACTATAAACAGCCAGAATGCGCGAGCTATGAGGCTTCTTCCAAATGTCAACTATGGAAGTCATTGTTAAATATGAGCTCAGATTATTATGTTGACTGAACACTCTATATTTTGAATACTCATTGATATTGATTAACAGTGCATTTGTTATTTAAAACTTATCTGGTTAATTTTGCATTTCCAATAATGGCTTTGCGTATTAGAGGTCATTTTCTTACAGGTGGTGACGGTTTCAAAATTAGAGGACGAGCTTAGTGTTAGGAGATAGGTGATCAGTTGGTAATTTAACAGAAAATATTTCCTGTAAAAAAAACGCCGCAACATATTTAGCTTATGACTGGTTTGTATTACCAAACTTAAAAAGTAACTTATTCTTAAATATGACCTACCATCTTCCATGTATTTCTTTTATGGTAAGACACATAAACATAACCATAACCATAATAGCCTACAGGTACAGAAACTGGTCTACAACTGGTGTAACAATATCTACAAAGTTATTTACATTTCAGACACAGAATTAAAATAATAAAAAGGCATACTGAACAACTTTAGAGTACATTAGAAATGTGGAAAGTATAAAATTCATAAACCAGTGTATTATATAATTTGGTGTAGGCCTACCATATAGACTTTCTTTAACTTGTGTTCTTACCAGTATTATTAATAATATTATTATTATTATTAATTTTTAATATTATTTTATTTTATTTATTTGTATTCAATTTTTTAAATATATTTTATTATTTTTATTATTCTGCTGTTTGGGCTGGACGAGTTATTACAGATAAATTCCATCATCGCCGATTTTATGCTTCAGTTTTAGATTAGCTAGCAACACGCCCCAACCCCCTCCTTACAAGCTTTTTTTTGGATTGTCAATAATCGATGCATACGTACGTACGACGATAGAGCATGATACTGTCGCAATCTACGTAATGGTCAACCAAAAACTTCTTCAGCGTACGGCACCGTACCTCTCTACACATTGCGAATTATCTTAGCCCCTACTACTTGGCTATTAGAAGGACCTTGCTAGGCCACTAGCTAGGCTTCTCTAGGTCTAGGCTAGTTTATGTCGCCAGTTTCTCTGGTTATTTTTTTATCGGATTGTCAATGCAAGTACGTGCGACGATGGAGCCAAATAGACTGTTGTTTCCGATAATTTAATTGGAATTCTCCCTGACGGAATAATATGATGAACTGATAGTCAAAATAGAAGCTTTTCAACCGGAATTCTCATTGTTTCCATTTTCATAGCCTGGTCTCTTTAGCTTGAGTTGCGCATGCTCAATGGTTGCATAAAAAAGTTCGATTTTTCTCCTTTCGAATTTACACCCTCTTCGCAGACGCCGTTTGTTATTTGGTTATGCTCAATGATTTCATGAGACATCGTTTTGGTAACTGCACCTGCTCGACAACGTCACTTAGTACGTATGCTCACTGTCTTTCCAGTTGCAAGCGCATACTCACTGTGTTTTTTCATTCGTTCGTAGTAAAAGCTACAGCTTATCTACAGTTTCTTAATGATTGTTCTTGTTCGTAGCAGCCAAAGGTGCAGCGCGAAAAACTGGTCTTGCATTAGAGAGGCCACAGAATTGGAGGGTAAACTGTATACTGTATTGATAGTATAGAACGTTTATTAATGTAATCAAAAAAAAATAATCAAATAGCAATAATAGTGTGTTCTTATCAGATCACTTCTTTCGAAGCGGATGAATTTATTGTTACAATGAGTATGTTCGGTGGTAGACCCACTACATCGAAAGCAATAAAACGGTGGAACAAATTCATTTAGTTTCGGTGGTAGACCCACTATATCGAAAGCAATAAAACGGTGGAACAAATTCATTTAGTTTCACTTTTATTTTATTAACAGTACTGAACGAAGTGTACTACGGATCTCGAAAACTAGAACCCTTGATGTCTTGGCCCACGACATAAGCCTATGGCCCATCTTTTTGACACCATGGCCGAGTGTTGCTACAAGGCTCGATTGTAATATACTTGATTCTATATAAAAAAAATTATACAATTGCAGTTAAATAAAAAAAAATATATATATGAAACAATCTCCAACATCAATCTACACAGAGTATAAGTAGTAGAGATGTAGCTTGGTGGTTAAGATGCTTGTCTTCCGATCCCAAGGTCCTGGGTTCAAATCCTGTGACAACACAGGATTTTTTCTCACGACACATTCCACCTCATAAGCCTCTTGAGGAGACGTCGCTGATAAAGAATCATGTTATTTCATTTAGTTATGAAGACCCTGAATTTATGAAAGCTCTGAATATCAGCCGACATTATGGGATACGCTGAATAGTGTTTAAAAAATAAATAGGAAAAGGGTACATAGCTCACTGCTAGAAAAACAAATATATTCCATCTATCCCCGACTATTATAGCGATTTAATATGTAAATAAATCGGTACATAAACTTTAAGATAGGCTACGGCCTAGGCCTATTTAAAAAGTAACTGAAATATTTTCATTCTTTTCCACTATGTTTATTTGTTGATCCCATAACCAGGAACCTATGAAGTTTCCCAATTCTTCCTCAGGTAAGTAAACCGGGCATTGTGGTCAATATGGCCACAACTTCCATGTCATCTCACAAAATGTTTTACTCTGTATATTAACCGTACAACGTATAAATCGGATACACATCCCTGTAGTTGAAGGGATTTGAAAAACGGTTTAAAATGCTGTGGAATTCAATGGGTCTTTGTAAATTTGGGTAAATCATTGAAAAGAGACAGAACAATCATAGTAATAAATAAATTACCGTAAAACTTTTAATTGAAGCCCTGGGCTTTTTTTTTTTTTTTTTTTTTTTTTTTTGCGAACTTTGAATGGGCTTCTTTTCGAGATAGGCTACTTCTCGAGATGGGCTTCTTTTCGAGACTATTTTTGCAAAGTAAAGAGGAGGGGGGCCTCTTTTCAAAATGAATGCTGTTAGTTTTGTGAATTTGTACGATTTAAACAATAAATAAGGTCAATGTAACATCAATCTGTATTATGGAGTGTATTTAACTGGCATTAAATCATCGAAACTAATGTATAAACCAAGCTTGTTTTTAATTTATTTAGTTTTCTGAATGTCATATACTGTACTGTACTATCTCGAAAAGAAGTACATAGGATTCTTTTCGCGATGGGCTTCTTTTCGAGCCTAATTTTGCAAACTAAAGAGGGCCTTCAATTCGAGATGTGCATCATCTCGAGATTAAGCCCACTGGGCTTCAATTCGAGATTTTACGGTATTTAGCAATAAAGTAATAATAGTTAATAATAATATTTATATATAATAGTATAAATCAATTGTTAGAAATAACCTAAATATACTTTTTAAAGGTTAAAATATGTAGATTTGTAGGTTAGTTCATTAACATTCGCTCATTACAGTAAGTGTTTTCATAATGAAATCGATGCGTCATTTTAAATAATCTTTATTCCCGCATTTAACTTTCACTTAAATTCCTTGCTTATTAGGACTGAAATTGATATAACAATCTTCAACCATAGTAACAGAACAATCAAAGGCAATCGACAGGCAAACAGCACTCTGACAATGTATACTGTATACATTTTTTCCGAAATAAACTTGATGGATCTATTGACCTATTTAATATTACACCACTAATTGTTGTTCTGTAGTCCTTCTAGACAGGATGACGTGAAATATTTGACTGCAGTCTTGCTCGTGTCCATTAGCCTACTAACTTCGGAATCATTGGACAATGTTTCCGATAGAAAATATTTCCATTATAATAAAGTAGGACTATTAAGTACACGTTAAGTATAATAAACCCGCTAAAGTTAATATTGCCCAAAATCATCTATTTTTGTTTATTAGTTTCAGTTCTTCTGTACATCTGTTCTTTTTCTTTTTTCTTATATGGTAAGGCAGCAGTTGAGAGTACAATGGTACACATAATATAAGAAGAGTTGTAATGAATATAGAGAGCGAACCGAATGCCCAGCGTACCCCGTGTTGTACGTACACAGCAGTTCCGAACAGAGGACCTATAGTCTTTCCAATACTGCCTACCCCGGTGAAGAAGCCCATATAGAGGCCCTGAGGAAAGACAAATAAAAAGTTAAATTGTTGGTGGTAGAATACATAGCTGTATTTCGCTTGATCAAGGCACTTTACTTACGTTTGTCTCTTTTTTAATAATAATTCTTTATTTGTCCTAATTCAAATTGAAAATCGGAAATTCGGGCTGTGTCCCTGGGAACCCGCGGCAGCCACATTACAGCGCCACCTAACTTAACTAAAACACATAACGGACACATGACGGCTGCAAACATTGTTCTTTACTCCGCCTAACCCTCAAAATAATTTTTATTGGAGGTGCCAAGCGATCAGACTCAAATTAAAACATTGGTTCAGTTTGAACCGGGGTCTTCAGCATAAGAAGCATGTACAATATCCTCTCAGCTGACCGCTCAGCTCGTATGCGCCACCCAGTAGTATGTGGGTACCTGGTAGGATGACGTGATATTGAATACGTTGATTTAACGTATTGCTCAGTTATCAGTATGTCTATTTAATATAAATTAATTAACTATAAATATCATGATTGCATGAAATATGGAAAACAAAGGCAGGAAAGACACGTAAACCGGACCTAGCACAAGTTAGGCCTATGTACCAGTCTTGGGGAAATTAGGTGTCATCTTAGAATAGTAGTTTTGTACGATAGTCGCGTGTTTTATTATTGGTGGGTGTAACTTTTGGCTGTGAATTTTATAGCCTATAAATAAGGTTACACGTTTAAACATATATAGGGCCTAAGTGTGTGTATAACATAGGGACAATTGGGGACTCACACATAACGTCATTGCAAATTAAATATTTACAGGAGTGTTAAATGCTCACCTGAGGCCGTGGTCCAAGAATTTTAGTATACATTGTGTAAAGTATAACTTGAGAAATTGAGTAGCCTATAGCAAACATGGACATGGCGAGGTAAAAGAAGGGAAGAATCATGTTAGGCGTGTCATTGCACCAATCGTAACGCCACGGGCAGCCTCCACCGTCTTCATTGTCTGTTACTGAAGAGAGAAAAATAAACATGGCAAAAGCGTGTATTTATTTAATTGAAAAATGTAGA